TTCAGAAATTAAGAGATGAATGTGATGCTTCCACAGTGCCTTCTGAACAAAAGAGAAGAAAATTTAATACAGATAAAGCAGTCCCTGCAAAAGAGGTTTGTGACGTAATTTTATTGCAGTGTAGAACGAGATTCAGCTTCATGGATCATTTGGAAGCTAGCCAGTTACTACTAGTGAGTAATTTTTCAACATATACTGTAAACTTCCCTAGTGATGCACTTGAGCATGTAGCTGCAGCCTATCCCATGCTCAAAAAAGATAAAGTGAGAACTGAACTATCTGTACTGTATTTGCGAGAAGATTTGTGCAAATCGTAAAAACTTATTGACTTGCTAGAGATGATAAATGACAGTCATCTGCAGTCAACATTTTCAGAAACTGTCAAGCTGTTAAAAATTTTAATAACGACTCCAGTGATAACAGCAGAAGCAGAAAGATGTTTTTCAACCTTGAAAAGAATCAAAACTTTTTTGCACAGTGCAGTGGCAAATGAAAGATTGACTGCTCTGGCAATGATATTGATTGAAAACATAATGACAGAAATGAAAACTTTTAATAGAAAAGTTATAAACCATTTTGCGACATCAAAAAATCAATGCTCGGATTTTATTTTCAAATACTGTAGTTGTAACATCACCTCAGCTAGCCACGTCTCCACCAGCAGGACTGTGACAACCTCTATGGGTACATATATGTGAACGCTTATCATTATTAAGTTTATTTAATTTTAAAAATTATTACTTTATTAATGTTTATTATGCTGTCCTATGAGGCTTCAGTCACGCAGTCCCACATTCTATTTTTTAACGAGCCGCCACTGCTTCCTGCCTCGATTGTGATATCCAATTTTTCTTTACCTAACTCGTTTGATACCCTCATCACCTTACTCTTATCTGTGTTTGCTTTCAACTTTCTTTACACACCCTCCCAAACTCGTTCACTAACCTTTGCAGCTTCTCTTTAGACTCTCCCAAAAGCTCAGTATCATCAGCAAAAAGTAACAGTGATAACTCCCATTTTGTTTTGTTCCCCCAAAATTTTAACCCCACCCTTCTCTGCAAACCCTGATTACTTCTTTACAACTTCATCTGTGTGTTTTTTAAAACAACCACGTGAATTATATACCCCTTTTAAAGGGCATATTTTTTACGGGAAGTAATCACTTTTTATCCCACCCCTAACCTGGCCCACTTCCTCAAAAAAACTCTTTACAGCATTTGAAAATTCTACCTTTTCCCATACACTTTCAACATCTGCCACATTGCCCCCTAACCCACCCTATCATTCCCTCTTCTAAATCCATCAATGCAGTGAAAACATCTCTCCATTTATCTAAATATTGTTCACTTATTGTTCAGTGTAAAAGACACTTATGCAGCATATGGAAATCTTTATTCAGGAAACGTTTCCCCACACGTGGCTTCATAGTCCAATACAAAGAGGAAGGGTAAGGAGAGGAGGAGAATGAGGTAATCAGCCCCTAAACCCTGGAGTCGATGTGTTCTCCATCAATCTACAAGATTGATGGACTGAACAATCGACTCCAGGTTGAGGGATGTTCCCTCATTTCCTTCCCCTTACCCCTTTTCCTTTTGTATTGGTGATGAAGCCACGTGTGGCGAAACGTTTCCTGAAAAAAGATTTCCTTGCGCTAAGTGTCTTTAATCTTCAACTTGTCGGTTTTTTTTAAACCCTTCATCACCAGTGTAAAAACTTGTCTACACACCCCCTACCCATTCTAAAGCCTCCTTGTTCATCTGCAATTGCTCTCTGTCATTGTATACATATAAAAAAATATATATAAAAACAAATGCACAGAAAGAATACAGGGGCCCCCGGTTCGCGAAGTCATAGTATCGTAAATCCGGTATCCGAAGCATTATTCCAAAAAAAATTTTCCCCGGTTCCCCTTACAAAACCCGGTATGTGATAGAATTTGTACGAGGGTGTCCATGTGTGGCCCGAATGCCCGTGTCGCCAGTGTTTACAAACCCGCCGTGTGCGTCTTAAGGTACATTTTGGGAATTCCTATTATCATGTTTTTGGTGTTGTTTTGCAAATAAGTCACCTGGGCCCCAAGAAAGCTTCTAGTGCCAACCCATTGAGACCAAGGGTGCTAATGACTATTGAAATGAAGAAAGAGATAATTGCAAAGTATGAAAGTGGAGTGCGTGTGTCGGAGCTGGCCAAGTTGTATAGTAAATCCCAATCAACCATCTCTACTATAGTGAGCAGGAAAACAGCAATCAAGGAAGCTGTTCTTGCAAAAGGTGCAACTGTGATTACAAAACAGCAATTGCAAGTGTTAGAAAATGTTGAGAGACTGTTATTGGTGTGGATAAATGAAAAAACAGATAGCAGGAGATAGCATCTCTCAAGCGATCATTTGTGAAAAGGCTAGGCAGTTGCATGAGGATTTAATTAGAAAAATGCCTGCAACTAGTGGTGATGTGAGTGAATTTAAGGCCAGCAAAGGTTGGTTTGAAAGATTTAAGAATCGTAGTGGCATACATAGTATGATGAAAATCACCCTGACACAGCTACTGCAAGCTGTGTTGACAACCTGTACACTGACAATGTTGTGAACCACTTTAGGAAAGTCATAAAGGAACGACAGGTACAGGCTTCTATGGACAGATATGTTGTGCGACAGAAGTCCAGTGACTCTCATGCTGGTCCTAGTGGCATTAAAAGAAGAAAGGAAGTAACCCCGGAAAAGGACTTGCTACCTCAAGTCCTAATGGAGGGGGATTCCCCTTCTGAACATTAAAAACTTCGACACTCTCCCCTCCTCCCATCCCATCAATCATCACCAGATCTTCATTAAAGATAAGTGTCAATTATTCTATTGTGATTATTCTATTGTTATTATTGTTATTGTAGTTATTCTATTGCATTAAACTTAATATTTCATGTGGTAAAAGTATTTTTTTTCATACTTTTGGGTGTCTTGCACGGATTAATTTGATTTCCATTATTTCTTATGGGGAAAATTGATTCGCTTTCCGATAATTTTGCTTTACGATGAGCTCTCAGGAACGGATTAATAACGTGAACCGGGGGTCCACTGTACAAGCATATGATCAGAGAAGAATTATTCTATTTGCTTCTGCTTCAGATAAATGAGTTCCTATATTTTTTCCTTACATTTTACCATTTGGCATTGACAGAGTCCCCTAGTGACTTTGAAAAGGATTTGAAACTACGTATTTTTTATTCCTTGGAATAATGTTTCCAAGTTCTTAGGGCAACTAGTGTGACTCTGAGCTGGCAGTCTCAGAAAGGCCAGACTGCAGGTTTGAATCCATTTAATTTCCATAAATTGTTTATATTTACTTATGGTGAATTTTTATTTTATTCAGCTTTCCCTTTAGATACAAGAATAATGACTTCATAAACACTAAATTACGACTTTTTTCTAGAAAACTGGGGAAAGACTTTGACTCTCTGAACCTGCATCCACAATTTGGATAATGATTTCATTATCATGAAATTAAACTCGAAAGAATTTTGATAGGTGGGTTTTTTAACCCTTTCACTGTCAAGACCCCCAAAATTAATACTATTGCTCTCAATGTCCACTTTAAAAAAAATTTCTTCTGAAATGGTAGCAGATTTTTTCCAAAGGTAATGACATCAAAAGAATGAAATTTGATGAATAATTTAAGGAATTACTCAGGCACAAAGTTAGCAGTCTGGGTGCAAGTTATGCCAATTTTGTTGCTCTATTCAGCCAAATTCTTAGCTGTTTCACTAGTATGCTTTCTGTTCTATTGAGCGAGCACAAGGAACCATCTTTTCAACTATTACAACTACCCTATAAAATGTACAGAAGTTAGTAATTTGACCCAGTTTTACACAATTTAAAAACACCAATATAAAACTAGTCCAAATTACAGTAATCACACAAAAATAAAAGATTTACTCATATATTTGTGATTAAGTTACTGAAACATTATAGTTTATGATGTCTCAGTAATTGAATCACACCTATTAAAAACCCATCAAACAGACTGGGAGGTGTTGTGGGGGGCTTTACCTGTTCTCAGTTAAATTGGCAAAAATCTAATATTTCTGCTACTCTGAGCCCAGTTTCAAGTTACTTCCAGTCCTAAACCCAAGTTAAATCATATCTATTTCTGTAATATGTCTTTCATTCTATCAAATAATACAAAGAAACACCCAATAAAACCATAAATATCTTAGAAAACACCTCAAAGTTACTATTTTAAACACACACTGCATGGGGCAGGATTTTTTTTTATAATGTGCACACTCGCTACACAGACCCACTTTCTCATATCTAGGCCAAAATTTACCACTCACAGCTTATCTGAGTGAGGTGACCCTGTATCATTCACATTTTAGCCTGTATCATTCACATTTTAGCCTGTATCATTCACAAATTAGCCTGAATCATTTATATTTCCTCATAAAAAAAGTCTCCCAAAACTTTCATATTTTTTTAGAACTACCATCAGCAAACATTAACCACTGGTGTATGAAATTTATCCCAGTCTTATGTTTGGATGAAGTTAATATGCCACAGGTGGCTGGTAATAATGATTGTGGTAGATAGATGTGAGCTTGTTTTGCCATGATCATAATAATTGACAGTTCTGTAAACAATGAAATTTGTTTGTTTCCAAATCATTTGATCCAGGTGAGACTGGTTAAATTGAAGGTTTACTTTAGATATGTTGAGAAACTACTCTATGTGAAAGTTGTCCTTAACAAGGCTATTCAGCTGAGTAAAACTAGAAAAAGACAAGCATGAAAAAAATGACAAATAAAATAAAATGAATGCATGTATTGCCAGTGAAAAAAATTTACTAGGGTGTCAAGGGATAACCCCTCCACTTATCTCATATTAGTGCTCTCACAAGAAACTGAAACCATTAAGTCTTTCACTTATTATAACAACATATATGTAGTAATAATGTTATTTGTAATTTTATTTTATATTTGAAATGCAGTCCCTTTCCTTTTTTTCCTTTCAGGACTCTTACTCTGATGCAACAATCACCTGTGAAGGAAAATTCTACCCAATTCACAAGCTTGTTGTATCATCATGCAGTGATTACTTTGATAAAATCTTTCAAGCAACTCAATGCAAGCATCCTGTTATTGTCATAAAGGACATCAGACACAACGATATGGAAGCTCTATTGAACTACATGTACCAAGGTGAAGTGAAGGTATGGGTAAAGAATACAAAGGCACAATATACAAACAACACCGCACATAGGAGAAGAAGCTTATGATGACATATAGGTCCTACTTGGACCATTAACTAGTCACATTAGTCACTGGTCCAAGTTGGACTGAAATGTCATAGCTACAATACAGGAATAATAAGCATTATTTTACATTGCAGTGTATATGTGGGTTTTGGCAAATGTATTGAATGCAAAATATGGAAATAATAATTTTTTTTTTTACATGCTGGCTGTCTCCCACTGAGGCAGGATGACCACAAAAAGAAAAGAAACTTTTACCATCATATTATCATTGTCTTTGAAATGGTGTGCAGATATGACAGTTGAGATGTCACCCCTAACAGCAAATATCCCAAACCCTTCCTTTAAAGTGCAGGCATTGTACCTCCCACCTCCAAGACTCGAGTCTGGCTAACTGGTTTCCCTGAATCCCTTCACAAAATATTACCCTGCTCACACTCCAACACTTCATCAAGCCATCTAGAAAAGACCCAGCCCAGGACAAGACTGGTGAACCTACTACATTACAGCTCATCAAGTCCCAAAACCATTCATCTCCACTCACTCCTACTTAACATGCTCACACATGCCTGCTGTATTTATTATATATCTTGAAAGGTTTTCAGCAAAGTAAGATTAACATCATCATTGAGCTGAAGCCAAGTAGTTTTAACCAGAAATTATTGTACAACAAAAGTAGCATAGGAAAATCAATATAGAATTATGAAAGTAACTAACTGAAGAAACACTTTCCAGCAGGCATCATGATACATGGAAACTAAGACACTGGTAGCAAAGAATGATTTTTAATAGGTTTCACATAATAATGGGTTTCTTCAAGAATATAGGAGTGAGTAAATACACTATAAGGCAGATGAGTACCCAGAAGTCAGGCTTGGAGAAAAATAGGTCACATGTGAGGTCATGAAAATGCAAAATCAAGTATAGGTGAGGTCAAGTATATGTGGGGTCAGATATTGGTAAGAGTAGGGGATGAGGCTTGTGTTTATTATTTAGCTGATTTTTTTTTTTACTTTATAGATTGCTATAGAATAAACATTAATATTTTTTTTTTTTTTCAACAAGTCGGCCGTCTCCCACCGAGGCAGGGTGACCCAAAAAAGAAAGAAAATCCCCAAAAAGAAAATACTTTCATCATCATTCAACACTTTCACCACACTCACACATTATCACTGTTTTTGCAGAGGTGCTCAGAATACAACAGTTTAGAAGCATACACATATAAAGATACACAACATATCCCTCCAAACTGCCAATATCCCAAACCCCTCCTTTTAAGTGCAGGCATTGTACTTCCCATTTCCAGGACTCAAGTCCGACTATATGAAAATAACCGGTTTCCCTGAATCCCTTCACTAAATATTACCCTGCTCACACTCCAACAGATCGTCAGGTCCCAAGTACCATTCGTCTCCATTCACTCCTATCTAACACGCTCACGCTCGCTTGCTGGAAGTCCAAGCCCCTCGCCCACAAAACCTCCTTTACCCCCTGTCTCCAACCCTTTCAAGGACGACTCCTACCCCGCCTTCCTTCCCCTATAGATTTATATGCTTTCCATGTCATTCTACTTTGATCCATTCTCTCTAAATGACCAAACCACCTCAACAGCCCCTCTTCTGCCCTCTGACTAATACTTTTATTAACTCCACACCTTTTCCTAATTTCCACACTCCGAATTTTCTGCATAATATTTACACCACACATTGCCCTTAAACAGGACATCTCCACTGCCTCCAACCGTCTCCTCGCTGCTGCATTTACCACCCAAGCTTCACACCCATATAAGAGTTTTGGTACTACTATACTTTCATACATTCCCTTCTTTGCCTCCATAGATAACGTTTTTTGACTCCACATATACCTCAACACACCACTCACCTTTTTTCCCTCATCAATTCTATGATTAACCTCATCCTTCATAAATCCATCCGCTGACACGTCAACTCCCGAGTATCTGAAAACATTCACTTCTTCCATACTCCTCCTCCCCAATTTGATATCCAATTTTTCTTTATCTAAATCATTTGATACCCTCATCACCTTACTCTTTTCTGTGTTTACTTTCAACTTTCTACCTTTACACACATTCCCAAGCTCATCCACTAACCTTTGCAATTTTTCTTTAGAATCTCCCATAAGCACAGTATCATCAGCAAAAAGTAACTGTGTCAATTCCCATTTTGAATTTGATTCCCTAAAATTTAATCCCACCCCTCTCCCGAACACCCTAGCATTTACTTCTTTTACAACCCCATCTATAAATATATTAAACAACCATGGTGACATTACACATCCCTGTCTAAGACCTACTTTTACTGGGAAGTATTCTCCCTCTCTTCTACACACCCTAACCTGAGCCTCACTATCCTCATAAAAACTTTACAGCATTTAATAACTTACTGTCTATTCCATATACTTGCAACATCTGCCACATTGCTCCTCTATCCACTCTATCATATGCCTTTTCTAAATCCATAAATGCAATAAAAACTTCCCTACCTTTATCTAAATACTGTTCACATTTATGCTTCAATGTAAACACTTGATCTACACATTCCCTACCCACTCTGAAACCTCCTTGCTCATCCACAATCCTACATTCTGTCTTATCTCTAATTCTTTCAATAATAGCCCTACCGTACACTTTTCCTGGTATACTCGGTAAATTTATTCCTCTATAATTTTTACAGTCTCTTTTGTCCCCTTTCCCTTTATATAAAGGGACTATACATGCTCTCCGCCAATCCCTAGGTACCTTCCCCTCTTTAATAAAAAATACTTCTATCAAATTGATAGTTTGAAAGTTTATTTTATTTAAAAATCTCCAAATGCATGTATAGCCCAGTCCTCAATAAGCATGTATCTTTAAAAATAATTATTTACTCCCCACTTCCCAGGAACAATATACAGTGCCAATATTTCACAGGGTATCATTCACACTTTTTTCTTATTTGATTGTTTTGTCATGAATAAAAGAAAAAGTTGATAAACTTGCTCCAAAATCTCATTTTTTTTTTTCTTTTTTTTTTTAACACATTGGCCATTTCCCACCGAGGCAGGGTGACCCATAAAGAAGAAATATTATCATTATCATTCACTCCATCACTGTCTTGCCAGAGGCATGCCAATACTACAGTTCAAAAATGCAACATACTTCCACCCCTCCTTCAGAGTGCAAGCCCTCTGCTTCCCACCTCCAGGACTTTAGTCCAGCTAACCAGTTTCCCTGAATCTCATCACAAACATTACCTTGCTCATACTCCAACAGCACATCAAGTTTTAAAAAACATTTGCCTCCATTTGCTCCTCTCTAACATGCTCATGCATCCACACAAAACCTTTACCCCCTCCCTCCAACCTTTCCTGAATGACTCCTACCCTACCTTCCTTCCACTACAAATTTATATGCCCTCCAAGTCATTCTATTGTGTTCCATCCTCTCTTAATGTCCAAACCACTTCAACAACCCCTTTTTAGCCCTCTGGATAATACTTTTAGTAACCCCACACCTCCTCCTATTCTCCAGGTTATAGATTCTCTGCATAATATTCACACCACACATTGCCCTCAGACATGACATCTCCACTTCCTCCAGCCACCTCGTCACTGCAATTTTCACCATCCTTGTATCATACCCATATAAGAGCGTTGGTACGACTATACTCTCATACATTGGCAGATATATACAGGAAAATAGATAGTTCAACTCTCATATTACTTTTGTATGTCATTTATATAAGCTAATTTAACCTCATAGTTATTAATTCTCCAAACCCAGCTTTATCTTTATTTTTGTTTTATATTCCAGGTGTTGCAGAGGGATCTACCTGGATTATTAAGAGCTGCTGAGTGCCTTAGAATAAAAGGTCTGGCAGTACCTGATGAAGCACCAACAAAGGAGGAACGTGATGTACCTCCCACAGAAATTGATCCCGACCCTCCTAAAAAGCGATCAAAATCAGACGAGTGCATAGACACCTTACCACTATCAGAAATACCTGTAACTCAGTCTGAACAATCAGATTACCCCTTGATATATCCTAATCAAGAAAATGGTGAATCCATAGATATTCCGGTAAATAGGTCAGGAAGTATTCAGAATAAATTACTCTCTATGTAGTGTTGCCACTTTAAACTATACAGTATACTGTGATTTGTTCTGAAATGTCTGTAGAAGAACCTTTTATACCTAATTATACATGATTAGCTCTTAATGAGTCTTAACTAATAGTGGTCTTAGCTTTCAATTATCCAGGTAATGACAGATGGCCTTAACCTTCAGCTGTCACTAATGATAATTTATCTTAGCCTTCAATTATCCTTAACCCTTAAACTGTCCAAACATAGATCTGCATTTTCACTGCCAGCACTCAGAATATTTTGAATTTTTTTTTTTTTTAATTTATTAAAGAGGGCAATTTTCTGTGTGTGATAAGACCAAAAAAAAATTTAGGGTCAATACTTACCAAGATATAAGGTCACGAAATTGGCGCTGGATGCCCACCTGATGGCAACATGGAGTCCTGCCGCTTGCAGAAGTGTTGCCAATATGCCTTTTTTCTCGTTTTTATTTTATTTAATTTTTATGTGCTGATAATTACAGTTTATAGTAGTTCTTGTGATTTCATAGCCAATCTTTGTTCTGATGCTAATATTAAGTACTGAAATAGTACTCAAATAGTCACAAACACACTGGCAGGTGAACATTTTCACCTGTCTTGATCACATACTATTGTCTACAAATACAGTGGACCCCAAACTTACAATATTAATCCGTTCCTGAGAGCACATCGTAAGACGAAATTATCGTTTGTCGAATTAATTTTCCCCACAAGAAATAATGGAAATCAAATTAATTCGTTCCAGCCACCCCAAAGTATGAACAAAAATATTTTTACCACATGAAATATACATTTTCCTACACACAAAAAGGAGGATACATGCACAAAATATATATTGTGTAATGAAGAATAAATGACACCTTTATTGCAGATGTGGTGATGGGATGGGAGGAGGGGAGATGATGGAGGTTTATTAAATTTTGGAAGGGAAATCCCCTTCCATAAGGACTTTAGGTAGCAAGTCCTTTTCCAGGGTTACTTCCCTTCTTTTAAAGCCACTGGGAACAACTTGAGAGTCACTGGACCTCTCGCACCAAAAATCTGTCCATAGAGCTCTGTTCCTCGCGTTCCTTTAAGATTTTCCTAAAGTGGTTCACAACATTGTCCTTGTAATAGTCACCAGCACGGCTTGCTATAGCTGTGTCAGGGTGATTTTCGTCCATAAAGGTTTGCAGTTCAACCCACTTTGCACACATTTCCTTAATCTTTGAAGAAGGCAACTTCCTCAATTTCTCTCTCCCCTCCTCTGAAGCAATTTCCTCAGTTGTGGCCTCTTGCTGTTGCAGATGCTCTTGCAGCTCATTAGTGGTTAGTTCTTCATCGTTGTCCTCCACCAACTCTTCCACATCCTCCCCACTAACCTCCAACCCATGGACTTTCTCAACTGTCAGAGGCTCCTCAGGGTTAGCCCCAAACCCTTCAAAATCCCTCTCTTCTACACATTCTGGCCACAATTTCCTCCAAGCAGAGTTCAAGGTCCTCTTAGTCACTCCCTCCCAAGCCTTACCTATAAGGTTTACACAATTGAGGATACTAAAGTGATCTTTCCAAAACTCTCTTAGGGTCAATTGAGTGTCTGAGGTCACTTCAAAACACTTTTGAAACATTGCTTTGGTGTACAGCTTTTTGAAATTTGAAATGACCTGCTGGTCCATGGGCTTGAGGAGAGGAGTGGTATTAGGAGGCAAGAATTTCACTTTAATGAAGCTCAAGTCCTCTGAAATTTGCTCTGCCAAGTCTGAAGGATGACCAGGAGCTTTCTCTAATACCAGGAGGCACTTAAGCTCCAATTTATTTTCCAGGAGGTAATTTTTCACAGTGGGGCCAAACACATGGTAAAACCAGTCATAGAAAAAGTCCCTAGTGACCCATGCCTTACTGTTTGCCCTCCATATCACACACAAATTAGCTTTGACGACATTGTTTTTCCTGAACACGCTGGGAGTTTCAGAGTGATACACGAGTAGAGGCTTCACTCTGCAATCACCACTAGCAGTCCTGGCAGTGCTTTTTCCTCCTGTGTAATGTAGGTCCTGTTTGGCATTTTCTTCCAAAACAGGCCTGTTTCATCACAATTAAACACTTGGGGTTTCAATCCTTCAGCCTCTATGTACCCCTGGAATTCCTGCACATATTTTTCAGCTGCATTTTTGTCCAAACTGGCAGCCTCACCATGCCTTATCACACTATGTATGCCACTACAATTCTTAAATCTCTCAAACCAACCTTTGCTGGCCTTAAATCCACTCACATCACCACTAGTTCCAGGCATTTTTTTAATTAAATCATCATGCAACCGCCTTGCCTTTTCACATATGATCGCATGAGAGATGCTATCTCTTGATATCTGTTTTTCGTTTATCCACACCAATAACAGTCTCTCAACATCTTCGAGTACTTGTGATCTGTGTTTCGTAAAGATACTTGCACCTTTCGCAACAACAGCTTCCTTGATTGCCTTTTTGTTGGCCAGGTTAGTAGTGATGGTTGACTGGGGTTTGGTGTACAACCTGGCCAGCTCAGAGGCACGTACTCCACTTTCAAACTTATTATCTGTTTCTTCATTTCAATAGTAATTTTCTGCCTTTTTACCACAGGGTTGGCACTAGAAGCTTCCTTTGGGCCCATGGTGGCTTATTTAGCAGTTACAAGCACTAAAAACACTGGAATAATGCAAAATGTTCCGAATGTATGCATGGAAGCGACCGCACTGGCTTGTAAACATTGGCACACTAACTGAAGGCAGGCCAACTGAGGCACACTCAGGCCAGCCAGACGCTGGGCGCGTACGGGACGTACGGGACGAATGATGTAAGTCGAGTTTTTCACCGTAGGTCGGGGTCAAACTTTTACTCTGACAAGCATCGTAAGTCAGTTTTATCATAGGTTGAGGTCATCGTAAGTCGGGGGTCCACTGTATATACAAAATATTTATAGGTCATACCAATGTTTTAGAGATGCTGGAGTATACATGAAACTCCTTGAAGCACAGTATAAGACAAGTGTCACTCCACTGCTGACAGTGCAGCAGCAGAGTAACATTTGAGGATCGAGCACCACTCCAGGGAACCATGGCTTTATTTGTTTTCACTGTTACACACAAATATATCTCTATCAGTCTGTCTAGCTCTGTCTGTTTATCTGCCTTTCTGTCTACTTGTGTGTGTCTGTCTTCCTGTCCCTCTCTGCTTATCTATCTCAGAGAGCCGCTCATGAACCAATAGGTATTACACATGATGCAGAGTCGTCACGTCTGATTCCTGATCAAGTGAAAATATGTATTACTTGCCAGTCATGCTTATTATGTCTTATATCTACAAGCACAATATAGCACTTTGCATTTTTTGGGTTATCCTAGGTAATTTACACTATGTATGATAATTGTACTTATGTGTACCTGTGAGACAGAGACAGAGATAACATAAGAACATAAGAACGAAGGAACACTGCAGAAGGCCTACTGGCCCATGCGAGGCAGACAAAGATAGACAGACAGACAGAGACAGAAGCAGAGAGAGACAGCCAAAATCAATCAGCCTCCCACCCACCCACCCAGCCTGCTGAATATGTATTGTTCAAATTCAAATTCAAATTCAAAGTTTATTCTCTATAAGGATTACAATGCTGAGTTTACAGAATTTGGTTATTGTGTGGTTTATATGTAGTAAAATAATAATTACAGAGTGTACCACTAGAACACCTAGCATGGCTAGTCATTTCGTGCAGACTTAGCTTAATTCTTAATTTTAAAATATTACAAATTATGAGGTAAGTTGGTATTATGGCTAAGTGACTAAATACTAGTTTGTGAGTTTAGCAATGTGAATGCTTTTGTTTTGGCACAACATAGTTTCGGTATTGGAGTATCACAGGCCAACTTATGACTAGTTAGGATTCATTATTTTAAGATTGAGATTGATATTTCTGTTTATGGTCAAATGGGTGAGTGAGCGTAAGTGTGAACCACCAGGTGATATTCGTGTAATTAGTTGACAGGGTGTATCAGGGAGATAAGATGTTTTTTAATGGTAGTTTTGAAGGTGTTGAATGTGTCTGCAGTTCTAGAGTTTTCAGGTAGGGTGTTCCAGATTTTAGGGCCTTTGACATACATTGAATTTTTGTGAAGGTTTAGTCGGACACAGGGAATGTCATAGAGATGTTTGTGTCTGGTGTTATGCCTGTGGGTTCTGTCACAACTATCAAGAAAGCATATTAGGTCAAGATTAATATTGGAATTTAAGGTCCTGTAGATGTAGATTGCACAGTAGTAAGTATGGATGTACTGAACAGGGAGTAAGTTTAGATCTATGAAGAGTGGGGGGGGGGGGGGGGTTGCCAGGGATGGGATTTAGTGATTATTCTTACTGCTGTTTTGTTGGGTTATTATTGGCTTTAGGTGTGTTGCTGCAGTTGAACCCCAAGCACAGATAGCATAGGTGAGGTATGGATATATAAGTGAATGGTATAGTGTGAGAAGGGCAGTTTGCGGCACGTAGTATCGTGTCTTGGAGAGGATCCCAACCGTTTTGGATACTTTTTTGGTTATGTGTTGGATATGGGTGCTGAAATTCAGGTTGTTGTCGAGGTATAGGCCTAGAAATTTGCCCTCATTATGTCTGGCAATTAGAGTGTTGTCGATCTTAATGTTAATTTGCGCAACTCCTGCTCTGCTACCAAACATAATGTAGTAGGTTTTGTCAGTGTTAAGCATAAGTTTATTGGCTGTCATCCAAGTTGATATTTTGATCAGCTCCTCGTTAACAATGGTGGCAAGATTAGGGTGAGAGATGACATAAGTCGTGTCATCAGCAAAGAGAATGGGGTTCAGTTGTTGAGATACGTTTGGAAGATCATTGATGTATATGAGGAAGAGCAGGGGACCAAGGACACTTCCCTGCAGAACTCCAGTATCAAGTGGCTGTGTTGTTGATGCTGTGTCTTTAATGGTGACATACTGATACCTATTAGTAAGGTAAGATTTGAAATATGCAAGTGCATGGCCTCTTATACCATAATGGTCAAGTTTGTGGAGTAGGATGCCGTGGTCTACTATGTCAAAAGCTTTTCTTAGGTCAATAAAAATTCCTAGTGGATATTCCTTATTTTCCATTGCTGTGTAAAGCAGATCTTGCATTTTTATGATTGCATCGTTAGTGCTTTTATTTTTTCTGAATCCAAATTGGCAGGGGTTGAGTATGTTTTGTGCCATTATAAATGAATATAGTCTCCTGTGCACGAGTTTTTCAAAGATTTTGGATAGCAATGATAAGTTTGATATTGGCCTATAGTTGTTTAAATCTGTAGGGTCACCACCTTTATGTATTGGTGTAACCCTTGCCGTCTTGAGTAGTTTTGGGAAGGTGCTAGTTTCTAGTGACTTGTTAAAAAGTAATGAGATAGCATGCGAAAGGACATGGGCTGCTCGCTTGTACAATAATGGTGGGACATGAGACAGATTCCCTGAGTTATTTTTAAGTGACTTTATAATCTCGGTGACTTCCGTGGGCTCAGTTGGTGCAAGATAGAAGGAATTTGGGAAATTCCCATCTAGGTAGTCCCCGGCATGGGCATAGGTACGTGGGATTTTATTGGCGTGATTAGATCCTATGGTTGAGAAGAAGTCGTTTATCTTGTTAGCTGTGTCAGTGGGATGCAGTGGTGTTTCATTAGGTTTAGTTAGGACAATATTCTTGTTTTTTTTCAGTTTGTGGGTCCCTAGAATCTGAGAGAGTGTTTTCCAGGTCATTTTTATATCTCTTGTGTCAGTGAATCTACTGGAGTAGTATAGTTGTTTGGCTTTCTTTATTACTTTGGTGAGAACTGATGAATAGTGTTTAAGAATATCTTTATGTATTAAGCCCTGTCTATATTGCTTTTCATATTGATGTTTCTTGTCAATGGATTTCAGAATGGTGCTGGTTAGCCATGGGCAACCAAGCCGTTTGTTTGTGATCTGTTTCGTTTTTATAGGACAATGTTTGTTGTATAGTCTAAGTATTTTGTTAAGAAAAATGTCTGTCCAGTCATCAATACCATTAGCCTTGGAGAATTCTGTAAGCCAGTCAACAGTCTCTAGGTCAGCTGTGAACTTCCTTATTGAGGCCTCGTCATGGAGTCTAAATGAAACTTTGTTGTATTCAAGTGATGGTTTACTAATGTTTGTCAAGAGGAAGGTAGGGTAGTGGTCTGTAGTGCTATCTGTGATTATCCCTGATTTAAGGGGGGCTAGTATATTGGTCCATATGTGGTCTATTATGGTTGCACTTGTCTCAGTGAGCCTGGTTGGTATAGTTATTGATGGTATGAGAAGTGTGTTGTTCATATTGTTGATGAAATCAGTTACAGGCTGATCATCTAGTAGGCCAAGGTTGATGTTGAAGTCTCCAGCTAAGAGAAGGTGGTGCTTATTCATTTGTCGGTGTGTTATTAGTGTCTTTAATTGTTAGGTAAGACACATGTGCAACAGTTAGGTATCTTTATTTCGAAACGTTAAGCCTACACAGTAGGCTTCTGCAGTCGAGTACAGAAAAGTTGATAGAAGCAGAAGATACTGCTTCTATGGAACAATACTCTTCTCCAGACTGAGGGACTGACCACCTCAAAACTTTAAGGGTGATGGACTGATTACATCGTCTTCAAGTATCTTCTGCTTCTATCAACTTTTCTGTACTCGACTGAAGAAGCCTACCGTGTAGGTGAAACGTTTCGAAATAAAGATACCTAACTGTTGCATATGTGTCTTACCTAACAACCTGTCGGTATTTTATGCCATTTTAATGAATATATATTACACATGTTCTAGAATTGTTTCTCTTTACTTAGGGCATAGGTTATAGGACATTCTGGCAGGATGACACTACCAGTGGTATCAAAATTGAAAGGATGTTGCACATGGGTTATTATCCAGTTTTCTTATGTTTCCTTGACCATTTGTGGCCACATCCATCTCAAAGCCACTAAACTCAGGGTCAGTATCCCTTTCCTTTTAACCCTTTGAGGGTCCGTCCCGTAGATCTACGGCTTTACGTTCATGGTCCAAACCGTAGATCTACGTCATGAGCTCAGCTCGCTCTGATAAACTGTGAGTGGTACATTTGGGCCTAGATATGAGAGAATACATCTATGTGGTATGTGTGCACCACATAAAACAGATCCTGCAGCATGTTGTGTATAATGAGAGAAAAAAACTGAAATCATGATTTTTCGATTTAAACAGCGACTTTGCAGTGTTTTTTTGTAAGTTTTTTATAGTTGTATTTGCGATTTCTTGGTCTCATTTGATAGAATGGAAGACATATTACAGAAATAGAGATGATTTTGATTGGTTTTAGCACTGGAAATGGCTTGAAACTGAGCTCAAAGTAGCAGACATGTTAAATTTTTGCCGATATTCAAGAGTAAACAAACGACCTCACACGTCTACTACACACCAGCTGGTGGGTCTAATATGCATTCACAAATATGGTGATGATATTTATACAATTATTACAATATTGCATAACAGTAAATCTTCTATTTTTTGGTGTGAATAAAAATTCATTATGTGAATAAAAAATCAAAATGGAATTTATTTGTAAAGCCTCAAAACGTAACTAATGAACAGAGGAAATGTTAGTTTAGTTCCAGGAATACCTACATTGTTTATTCTGGACCCTATTTTGAAATTGGAATATTTTGAACTTTGTGTTAAATTGGCCAAATTAACAATCTCCAATCACTTTAATTTGTAGTTGAAACAGTTGACTTGGCGATTTCTTGTGCTCAATCGATAGAATAGAAGTAATACTAGTGAAATAGCTAAGAATTTGGTTGACTGGAATAATGTAATTGGCCTTAAATGGGAGTCAAAGTTGGCAAAATCGCCTATTCGTAAATATCGCTGACACATCAAAATTCGCGAGAGCATAATTTTGTCAGTTTTCCATCAAATTTCGTACTTTTTGTTTTATTACCTTCACAAAAAGATTCTCTACCATTTCATAAGAAAAAATAACAAATTTTTTTTTTGAAAATTCTTGGACACTGGGGCACCACTTCAGATTTGGGCCTTGGACCCTGAAGGGGTTAAAAAGGGAGTGTTAATATGACATGGCATCAGTGAATCCCTGGTGGTAAGATAAGATAAGATAAGATTTCATTCAGATTTTTAACCCCGGAGGGTTAGCCACCCAGGATAACCCAAGGAAGTCAGTGCGTTATTGAGGACTGTCTAACTTATTTCCATTGGGGTCCTTGACCTTGTCCCCCAGGATGCGACCCACACCAGTTGACTAATACCCAGGTACCTATTTGCTGCTAGGTGAACAAGACAACAGGTGTAAGGAAATGTGTTGAAATGCTTCCACCCGCCAGGAATCGAACCCGGGCCCTCTATGTGTGAAGCGGGAGCTTTAGCCACCAGGCCAGCGGGCCACGCTGTTTGCTCTAGCTGGCGCTCGGTTGAACTGGTGCTCCCACACGGTACTGAGTGATCCCCAATTTTTTTAATACTGTACACACCGAGTGTTAAGACTCATTCTGTAATGACCAGG